CTCCCTCTCTTTTGTGGGTGATGATGTGGGTGACTCATGAGGTCATATGCCTGTTAAAATGATTAGGGGAACAGTTTAAACTATAATCCACAGGAACTGAAGCCTAGTTTGGAGAAGACAAGCTGTCAGCAGGAAAAATATAAATTTACACAAAATACAAGTATATATATATTTTTGCAACAAAAGAAACTATTTATTTGGAATATGCATTACCAGTACAAATTAGGAGACTGTAAAACCTACACCGTGTTAGTATCATTAGAGAACACAAAAGTTCAGTTGGAATCAAAAGGGACAGAAGCCTGTGCTCTCACAGAAGCAGAAGAGCTTAAACTTTCAAAACCAAAACAGAGCTTTGCAGGTTTATACTCTGAATAAAAAGGGCAGTGGGGTGAAGGAGGGAGAATAAAACCATCGACCAAAAGAAAGCATTTCAAAATAATTAAAAAACTTTTCAAAGCCATAGGAAAGGAAGAAAGTAATAAGAAAGGGGGAAAACATTGAATGTTTTATTTGTTTTAACAAAAGAAAAAAAATAATAATGTTTACAAAAAAATAAAAGATTCCAGAAAGCTTTGAGCTAGGGATTGAAACCCAAAGGTGATGTGAAAAGCTCGTCATTATTTTGTCATGACGCATAAACAAGAGCACGCATGTAGAGTGGAGGCTTTAGAAAGAGTTGCCTCACAATTCTGCATTCTTTTATCACTTCTCTTGCTTAGGTTCTGAACACTTAGCAATTTATTGAATGAAAGAATTTTAAAAAGTTTCTTCCAGGTAACATTGCTTTCTTTCTTTCTTTCTATAACTAATAAGAACATTCCAAATCTAGCCAGTCTCACACATTGCTTTAAGCAGCCACTTGAATCAGAGGTTAGTAAGAGGTGAATCACGTTTAAACTCTGAGCATTCAAACTACAACTCAGTAAGTACGTTGAGACTGGCTCAACAGCTCACCAAGTCTTTGTCCAAAATTGGAACTCAAAGGAACAGCAGGCAGAGGGGCCCCAGGGACTGCTTCCTGGATCTAGTCTACTTACCCAATGGTGCCCACCCCACTATCATCTGGAAGAAAAATGCTCTCTGATTGGAAGATGCCTTGTGGAATGCTGTTATTAACCAGGGAGACAGAAAAGAAAGCATGTCGTTGTGATGTTCAGAATCAACAAAGGCAAAAACCTTCCCTATAGTTTGGAAAATCCCTTGGATGAGTTCATTGAATTTTTAAGTGGTCAAAAGGAGAACCCAAGTCCCTGACTGTTTTTATCAGGAGTGTCTCACTCTGTGGAAATGCAGGTACGTAATGCAACCACAACACAGGCTTTATCTTTGTTTTTGAAATCAACTGAATTCTGAAGCAAAGGAGAAGAATAAGGAAACAGCTTTGTCTACAATGTCATCTTTTCACATCACCTCGTTTACATATTTAAGGAATAAAAACAGCAAGATCATAATCCTGACAATTAAAAAAAAATAGCTCCCCCCCCAAATAAACAAACCAAAGATAACACAAAACATATTTTTTTTTCTTTTTTTTGTATTTTAAAGAGCAGGAATAAAGAAAAGAAAAGAATTTATTTCTGGGTCTCAAAGTTAATAAACATAATAACGTGTTAAGTTGTACCTATTATGCTCACTATTCCAACCTTTCTTTTTTAAATTTTACAAAATGAATTACTGTCACTTTTAAACATTGTGAAACAGGAAATGGATGTGCACAACTCGACACTTTTCTAGCATTCTTGAACTAATTCACAAATGCAAGAAAATAAAAGAAAAATGAGGGAAATGATGAATGTAGGTAGTCTGGTGTTAAAAACTAATGCAGGAATGATGCGCATTGTCACAGAAAGAAGAGGGGAAATTCCCCGTCCTGTTTTGCGTGCTATGAGGGGTCCTTTTTAAAATTTTTATTATAAACACTATGAAATTCAGACCGCTTTTTTGGTTTTTTTTTTTCTTTATCTGAATATACAAGAACATTCATTATCAAATGTTCATCATCAATACTACAAAGAACGAGACACAAGTCGCAAGAAACAATGGAAAATGTTAATAAAGCTGAAAGAATTGTTGAGTATTTTTTTTTAAGTTTTTTTTTTTTTTTTTTTTTTAAATTTGAGTTTCTGTAGTTTTATCTTTTTTTGGTATCGAAGTCAGGTTTTTCTGGGCAGAAAAATAAAAAAAGCCGAAGGAAAGAGAGGAAAATATATGTGTGAGAAAAGGCAACTGGCAAATAAAGAACCATCACCACAGCAAAACAAAAAAACAACTTTAAAGAAAGTGCCACTTGGCAAGAGAGTCAATTCCACGCCATGGGGAAGAGTCGGGGGTGAAAAGGAGGATATACTGAAGAGTTACAAGGTGGGTCAACCCAAGGTCTAGTACCATTCTCAGAGGAAGTTTGCTGTCAGGGAAAATGCAGCTCTCCTACGTCCATTAGAAAATGAAGGAATCCTGGGACAGATACTGGTATCTGTAGGACTGACTTAATAGGAATTCCCAAGGAGCTGTATTTCCAGAGGCACGGCTGTTTCCACTCCCATCCTTGTGCTGCCAGTGGGCTCATGCTTGCCTTAACGCTGAGAGATCGTGGCTGCCACACTGGAAGTGATAGTGGACTTGGAGGGGAGGTTGTGGGAAAGGCATTGGACACAAGGAGGTCTGAGTGAAGTGCTGGGTGGGCAAGATACTGTGAGAGGTGATAACCAGTGCAAACTACTCAGTGCGAGAAACTGCCTGTGCAAATGGAGGATTGCTCTCATCTTTTTCACCTAAAATGCATCATTCAATCCAAATCTGGAATCATCCTTCCTGTTTCCAAGAGAATCTTTTTGCGTCTTTTTATTTTGCCCAAATGCAAGGGGTAGGTTTAAATATATTTCTGCCATAAACACATAGCTTGCCACTGTTTCTAATCACTATAGAGCTGTCACAAATACGCTTCTTCTAGGAGTCCCTTTATCTAACCCTCTTCTGGTTACGGCACAGGTTAGCAGACACAGTCTTTCTAGTGTTCTTGGTCATCAAAGCATAAGCCCATCTTGCCAAATATTTACATTCTGCATTTCCTTCAAATACATATATCCTGGAGTTTCTTAGGTAGCAGTTCCTCCCACACTCTTCCCTCCCCCTACACACAACACAGGAGCACTTTCTACACATTACTTAGGGCAGGAAGAATGTCCATGACCTTGTGAGCTGGCCAGCCTTACCCCTCAGGGTCTTGTATCTCTACCTGGAGGCCTCTCAAACAGAGTGTATGTGACACAGAACTATGTATTGACAAGGCCACATTTTGGATTCAAGTGCAAGCTAAGAAAACCAGGTCCTATTACTTCATTTTGGAAACCTTTCTCTGTCCTAAGAAACCAAACAAATCAAAACCATGAAACCAACAATAACCATTTTCTGTCATCATGGTGATGATATCAGGGTGCTGATGGAAACCAGAAGTTAAAACAGGAAAACCATTTATTGTCCCTACATGTCAAGTGCCATAAATTTATCTCAGAGACACTACCTTGTACTTCACATTTATAGACTGGGTATGAGTGAAGTAAGTTTGCTGTCTCTTACAAGCCTTTTGATGACCCAGGCATAAATATGCCCATTTTACAGATAGAGAAACTGAGGCACCAAGAGATTGAGTCACTTCCCATTTAATCAAGTGACAGAGCTGCCATCTTTACTGCTGGCAGAGTCTACTATGAAGAATGCAAGCTCAGATGGTATTGCTAGGTGCTGTCGAGTAGGCGCCAACTCACAATGACCCTACGGACAACAGAACAAAACACTGCCTGGTCCTACACCATCCTCACAATCCCTGCTATGCTTGAGCCCATTGTTGCATCCACTATGTCAATCCATTTTGTTAAGGGCATTAGACATTAGCTTTCTAGTACATAGACTCTTTTCTCAAATGATCCCAGAAAATAAAAATCACTGTGAAAATTTCAGTGAAAGCATTACCTTCTCTTTATCCATGACCTTCAGGTCTTCAAATTAAGCTAGGAAAAAAGCCTGAGCCATGTTCTTACACAACTCCCTCCTCCAGAACAAGAAATCAAGAGTCAAGAAACATGGTGCCATGTAATACTTTGGAAAATTAATGCTATGGCCCTAAGACTAAAACAAAAACAAAGCAGACCAAATCTATTCTAGACATTGCAAGTACTGTGTTGGCTTCCTGAGAGCTCCAAAGGTGCTGGCGATAGGAAAAGTTTACACTTGAAATCTAACCTTTATCCAATCAAGTCCTGTGTATGTTGTCCTGTTTATGTGCACTCTGGTGGGCCTATAGTTTGTGGAAGCCCCCAGACACATATTCCTTCTTTGTGTCAGTGACCATCACTCAAGAGTTGATAATTCCCTCTTTTGAGCTCACAGTATTTGCATATGTCCTGTGAATGATCTTGGTCAAGTAAATGTATGTGACTGTGCATGTGCCTACATGTGCATGTATGTGAGTGTGTATGTGTGTGTGAAGGGACAGTTGAAAAGGTTCAGGGTAAGAATGTTCTACTCCTTAGTGATACAGTCATCACCATGCCTAACTCTGATCTAGTTTTGCAGGGGGGTCTGAACACCGTTAACTAAGTGTTGAATGATCTTCAAAGACGGTGCCTCTGAAACCAAGAGATATTGCTGGCAGGATGAGAGAGTCTGTGGGAATTCTGACCTTTCTGTTCATTTGCCCTCCCTTGCTGCCTGACTCCCTGCCTGAGAGTCAACCCAGCAGAGCTGTAACTGGAAACTGTGGTGGCATTTAAAGCCCAGAATAACTGGGGGCGGGGAGGAAGAGGAGGGAAGTGTTCCAATCAGAATTGTCCCTGGGGAAGGAAGAGCAAGATGGGGAAAGGAGGCTTGGAGTGAATAGGGCAATGTGGCATTTCTAAGAGGTAGTGAGAGTAACGAGAAACAGAGAGAGAGAGTGCCTGTTAATATTGGGAGTGAGGGATCCGAGTGAGGTAAATTTGGCTCCTCAAACCACCAGCACAAAAACATACAAACACTTTTATTATTTTCTTTGTCATTGTTTTTCCTCTTTAAATTCCTCTAATTGTTGAAAATATCCTTCCATTACGTAATAGAGGGCAGGGACCCAGGAAGTCTAAGACATAGGGAAGGGGCCGGGAGATGTCAAAACCAAGCTGAGAGCTGGAGGCAGGGGAAGGGTGGCTTCTACCCAGAAAAAAAAAAAAAAAGGGAGGAAGAGAGTATAAAGAAGTGTCCAGATTGGCTGAAATAGCATCCCAAAGAAGAGAAGAGAAGGAGACTCTTATTGTGTTTGCTGATTGCTTCGACCTCCAGTCTGACCGCTTCAGCGTTGGGAGAGAAACCCTCCCTCCTGCCCCTGCCCCGACTGGGGCACAGGGTCAGCCGGGATGCGATTGCGGGGAGATCAGTTGGAGGTATCAGAGTGAACACTGCCAGGGCCTTCTGTAGGGGAGGTCACTGATGAAGGGGTAGTAGCATCCTGCCAACCTCCATTAGCCTAGAAGGGAAAAAGGGAGAGAAGTCAGTCCTCTGAGATCTGGTGGCCTTTGAGCAGACAATGACAATGAGGCAACTTGGGTAAAGGATGTAGCACGGTGCCTGGCACATGGGGCATTCATCAGATGGGTTGCTATGACTGTTGATGATATTATTCCCACCTCCCTCAGATGAGTTTGGGTCTTCCCAGTGAGCCTGTGAATACAATTTTAACTCCTCCCACTTGTGTAGTGTGTGTATACTTTTCAAAGATGTCTCAATTCAGTTCAAGCCATGACATAATTACTGTGTGTGCTGTCATGATATGATAAGTGCCCTGCAGGTCAAGAGACCCAAGTTCTGGTACTGATTTTAACAACAACTAACTGTTGGCTCTGGCCTTGGTTTCCCCTTTTGAACAAAAAGAGGGTTGGCCCACATAATTTCTAAGGTCTTTTCTTACTCTGAATGGTCCATATGTCTATGGGATTCCAAGTTTCTATTCTGTACAAGGTTCTGTACTATATGTTCTTGGGTAGACATGATGAGTGGATAAAGCTCATGTCCTCAAGGAGAGGGTTAAGACAAACACATGAATAAACTATAATTCAAGGCAGAACCTAAAAAATGGTAGAGCCCCGTTGTTATGAAGGTTCAAATGAAGGCAATATCACATCTTGTCGGAACACCAGGAAAGGCTTCAGGGAGGAGGTACTCTTTGAGGTGAGCCTTGAAAAATACAGAGGGTGATTCAAGTGAACAGAACAGGCAAAACAATGGTGCCAAGACCTTAAGGACTGGGCTGAGTGAATATATCTAAGGAGGTGGTGAGAGGGAAACTATGAGTTTGATCTACATCCGTAGATAATTTCTAAGACTAATAACAGAAGTACTCAAACAGTGGAATTGTTCAAAAGGATTTGTTTTAATGACCACACCTTTCAAAATAGATCCTGCTACTAAAATAGTTGAGGCATGATTTGCTATAGTGGTAAATTCATGATACATAGTTCATTATTGTTTATATGTTTTAAAGCATTGAGACATGAATGTTCTAAAATGCACCCCCCCATCCACTATGTTCATTTGGAGTTAATATAACTCAATTCTGGACATACTGTTAATGTCAAACAAACCAGGTTTTAGGCATTCCTGGTAAATGAGTTTTCAGTTGTACTTTGCTCTCCTTTTATCCCCTGGAAAATCTGGAGGTAGATGGAACAGGTGCCATTTGGGAAGGACTATGATTTGTACAATTTTGTGTAATCCACGGTACACAAGATAGTGCCATAAACCAAACCAAACTCATGGCTGTTGAGTCATTTCTGACTCATAGCAACCCCTCCTTGGATTTCTGAGATGCTATCTCTATGGAAGTAGATTGCCCGATCTTCCTCCCGAGGAGTGGCTGGTAGGTTTGATCCGCCAGCCTTCTGCTTAGCAGTCAAATGCCTTAGGCACTCCACAGTACACAGAACAGTCCCTGGCACTATATAGGCATCAGTTAATATCTGCTCACATTTCATTCATAACAAGGCAGAGAGTACAAGATAAGAGCGAGCTTCCTGGTTTACGGCTGAAAGAGAATACAGGGCTCTTAACTTCTGAATCCAGCTCCTTTTACTCTGCCTTTTTTCATCCATTTGGCTTTCTTTTTCATTGGCTCAATCAAATGATGCTCCAATTTTCCCAGGAGAGGCAGGATTTTAATTCAAAGCAGCTCCCAGTTACTTTAGCAGAAATGCAGATTCTTATCCTTACTTTGGTAAGCAGCAGCAAGTCACAGATTTGGATTGCCAGGAAAGGTGGTTCTGGGAAATGCTGATAAGTAACACTTGCTCTCAATCCTGAATGGCTAATTACCTGCTCTGGGTTCAAATCTCCCATCTCTTGATGTAGGCAGGTAATCCCTCCCATTCTTTCTCCTCAGGAAACCTTTCCGCTATTGTTTGTGATGGGAGATTAGACAGAGTGCAAGAAAGGAGAATTTTTTTTCTTAGTCACAGAAGGCTTTTCCATCTTTTAGGGGCCAAGACTATAATATGATTGTAATCAATAATAGAATTAATTCAATTTCTGAATGCAGGTTTGTCACATGGGGTCACAGTATCTTAGCTTCACTTCCCAAACAAGAAAACATATATTCCGGTGCCATTTTAGATTGACTGCGAAAGGGAGTTACGTTTACTTTTTCCTATAGAAAACACTTCAATGTCATTGATGCTTTCTGATTATAAAAGATGTCAAGTAGGAAAAGCATAAAAACAAAATTTAACACCCCTAATCCTGCCACTCAGAGGTAACTGCAGTTGCCATTTTGGTGTCTGTCTGTCCTAATGAATAATCATTTTATATATGTACATTTACCAGATACATACAGTTAGAGGGGTGTGTGTGTGTGTGTGTGTATTTGCATAGTGGAGCAGTATGGAATTTTAAGGAAACAATGGAGTACCATGTAATGAAGCAGAAAGTGAAGCACAGTTTTTTTTTTCTTCTTTAAGTCATGTATCTTAAAATCAATGTGGTATCAGGAGAGGGATGAGGCAAGTAGAAGAGGAGGCTCATTGAAAGCAGTTAGCACCCATGTCTTCAGAGCACATGGCATGAAGGAGTTTTATGACACTGCTCACAAATCACCATGATTATCATTATTTAGCCAGGCTATAATTCCATTAAAATGACAAGAAGTGGTGCCAAAAATGAAACTGTTAGTAAAGAAAATCAGCTCTGTGTTGTTTCATTAGGAAGGAATGGGCAAGGCACGCTATTGCCCAGAAGGTTCTCGGAGACTTCTTTTTGAGCCATCTCTGAGTGGAAACAACCCAAGCAGTAGACATTTGCTGTCTTTCCCTGGAAAAAGTTCTCTTTTCTTAGACCAGTGCGCAAGATGCCAGAGGGTACAGAGAACTCACAGATGGTAGAGGCAGGAATTAGTTCAAGCTGATATTAAAACCAGCATTTTAATTATGCCAGTTGGTCTGATGAAGAAGATATACAAATCTTCTATTAAAAAAAAATCTCTCTAGCTCCCTATTTTCACTTCCAGTTCACAGACACATTCCTCCCTCCGCCACCCATACATAACTACACACTCTTCAGGCCTCAGGGTGACTAATCCTCCCAGTCTACCCAGGACTCTCCCAATGTCAGCACTGAAAGTCCCTTATCCTGGTAAACCCCTCAGGCCAGAGAAAACCAGGAGGGTTGTCACCTTACTCCCAAGGTATCCCAGCCAGGGATATAGCTCTTCTTGTTGTCAGCCACTGTCAATTAGCCCCCAACTCAGGACAATCCCAAGCATGACAGGACAGAACGCTGCCAGGTTGCGCCATTCCCACGACAGACAGTTGCAAATCAGACTGTTGTGCTCCACATGGTTCTCACTGGCTGATTTTCAGAAGTAAATCACCAGGCATTTCTTCCTAGTCCATCTTAGTCTGGAAACTCTGCTGAAATCTGTCCAGCATCTCAGCAACACGCAAGCCTCTGCTGACAGAAAGTGGCTGCAGATGAGGTGCACAGGCTGGGAACCAGGCCCAGGTCTCCCACAAAAAAAGGCCAGAATTCTTGCCATGGAACCACTAACTTGCTGCTCAATTTAGGACATTCTAGCCTAGCCATAGTCTAAGTTAGAAAAACACAAGCACATTTTGGATTAAGCATATCTCACTAGGGAAGGTGAGGATTTCTTTTCTCTGGAGGTGCTTTATACAATGGTACATTCTCTGTTGCGGTTGCAACTAAACCTCCACAAGATCAGAAACTGCGAGCAAAGCTGACTTAACTGCGTTTCCTGTAAATCACTTTGGCTGCTTCAGCTGTATCATTCCAGCTTTAATGTAAGACGTTCAGAGGCTGCACCGTCTTGGGAAACAGCTGACCTCGCTTACTGCCACGTTAACCCTGGGGAGCAATTCCTTCCCTCCTCCTCGACTGCAGATGAATATCAAGTAGGAAACTCCACCTTTGTGTGTTTATTTCTCTCTGGGTGCAGTGAGAGTTGAAGATGCGCTCCTTACCAAGCACGTGTGGGTGATGGGCAACGCAGTTTTTGTTTCTGTTCCACACTCCAACGTCCCCCATCACTCACGGATGCAAACTATCCTTTATTGTGGCCAGGCACAGACCACAAAACGTTGATGTCAGAAACCTTAGTGACAGGTTACAGAGGTGGGGAGGGGTAAACTGCATAACCAAATGGGCTCTTTTATCTCTTAAACTGTCCCTCGTAGAGGAGACTCTACATCTGTGCCCAATTCTCTATCTAATTCTGTGATGCAGGGATTGTGCAGCAAGGCCAAATCTAACCTTTAATTACACCAGGTAAAGCCTAAGCCAACAACAGGTACAACCTGAAACCTCATGGGGGGGGGGGAGCTAATAGAATATAAAATTATGACAAAATATAGCAAGTTTCCTATATGAGAAAATCTGGATTTGCAAAACATAAATTAATGCTATTCAAATACAAAATGATTCAGGGACAAAAATGATGGACTGTTTACCCTATACCTGACCCTAATGAATGTGGTACATAATTCGATGTACACCAGATTTTCCCAGAATGCCATCCAATAGACAAGGCAAAGCATGGGGAGCTGGCTACTGAGGTAAGGATGGAGCAGTGGTGGATGAGGAAAGCCACATGGTTTCTCCTGACAAAACACAAGAACTGCAACCAAAGCCCTGACTTCTCCCTTCTCTGCCACCTCCTTGTAAAGGCACAGGTGCCACCTGCAGTTGCCTGTCCCTCGATGTTGCAGATGCAGTGCTGCTGGAGTCCAGAGCAGGGGCGGCTGGGCTGAGATATGCCTGTCTCATTCTCCTCTCCTTCCTGCTCTTCCTCTGCACTTACCTTAGCAGCACACCATTGATGCAGAGAATTCATCACCTGATGTGACAGCCCAAGCGAGCCTGGCACTAAGAAACTCTCATTTGCAACCCAGAAATACGCTGAGGTGCCACAAACCGGCTGATGTCAGCACCAAGTTGAGCTAGATCTGCATATGGGCCAGATGC